ACGTGTGTCTGGTTGAAGCATTTGTTGGATGTTGACCATTCTTGTTCGTAACAACTAAGTTCACTTCAGGGTTAATATATTTAACTGAAATCTGAGTTTTGCTTTAAAGTTTAAAATAAACATAAAGGCTGCTTGAGAATGAATATTCATAAATATTTTGGTGTCAAAACAATATTCCTACCATGCAGACCAAGAATCGTTAACTAAATTAACTAAAGCCACATGCTGTCACGATAGTTAATGTTTACTGCGTTAGTAAACGTTTCTTGCGTTAGGCTTATTTCACTTACATGAGATTTAGTGTGAAAAGGATGAGTAATACAGTACTCCCTTTTGTAAAATTGTCACATTATATGTGTGTAAAACAAATTGTGGAAACATGTTTATATTAATATTTTTACATTATCTAATTATGTAACAAGTACAGTAGATACTTGTTGAGATCATTTACAACCCTTTACTGTTCTTGGTTACATCAATCTCATAACGTAAGAATTTCACATTACTGGTTTTAACATTTTCGACATTTAACAAATAACTGTTTGTAGATGTTGACAGAGGCTCAAATGACAATGCAACATGCTATTATTTTTTTCTAGCTAATATTTATCAATCATGCCCTATAGTTGTTTGTACAGTACGTGTCAAAACACACAGGTCTTCGTTGTCGTTTTACTCCCCATTGCCCGGCTGAAGTGGTTACTGTACACCGGTGAGAACGATGCTCGCTCGTCGTACACCAACACCAAAGCCACCGGCTGCTACTCTATTAATAAACCGTTTATTAATAATATTATTTATTATTTATAATACGTCGTCTGGTTGTAGTAAATAGTCTGCTCAATTAGTTATTGATCATTTGTGAACTTCCATGTGAACAATAGTCTTTTATCAGTGCCTGTAGGTGGTAACAACGTTTAGTTTATCTTGCTCTATACATTCAGGTATTATTATGCTGGCCTATTCCTCCGTTTATTGTCAATTGGAAGTAGCCTTTAGTTTTGTAAACCTCAGACTAGTATTGGTAATGAAATTTGCTACTTTGAATGTTGCTTGCGAAAACTCGTGGACCAAGACAACTTGCCCTTTTAACTCGCAGCTCTTGGTCCTGGTAAAACTTATCGCTAGTAGCAGACATTGGTCGAATTTTTACGCCTGTTGGAACCCTTTTCGCATAATAATATTTCATTTCTTGCTCAACCAATACGTGGTGCACGTCATTACATGAACTGCAATTGAATCTTTGTGAGCAAGCTATAGATCCCTCCACCGTATTTTAGAAAAAAAAGGCAAGTTACCATACTTTGTAGTTCATAATCTACTTGTAGCGGTATGGTATGCTTTTATACTCAAGTAATAGAGGGTTATAGTTACATAAATATAAATTTTCAGTTAAAAAAAAAAACAATCTTCTCAGGACGTCTATATGAAGAGGCGATATGCAGTACTTGGTGTCGGTGAAGAGAGTATGCTTATTCATAACGAAAAGGAGACGAATTCAAATTTGTTGCATTTCCTAAGGAAGTGTTTGATGCCATCAGTACTGCTCACAAAGCTGATGGTCATGGTGGAGAAAAGGCGTTTTTAGAAGCTCAAAAAAGTGGGCAAATATTACACAAGAAGTATGCCATCTCTTGCGAGAAGTAACGATGTCCAGGGGCCAAGTAGACTTGATTAATTTCCAGGCTGGTTGATGGGGCTTACAAGTACAGTACAGTATGACCTATCTGAATCATTTCAGCAAACTCTATACGATACTTAAGACAACCCACACCAAAAAGAAGAGAAAAGGTTGCAGGCTGCAGCAAATCTTTATATTTTTCTAGCATTTGTAGCACCTGCAATTTTGCAGTCAGACAATGGTCGGGAATTGTTAATTTTATCATTGTGGAATTGAAAATGTGCTAACCAGAACTGAAACTCCCATAAAGGTAAGGTGTGGTTGAATGCCTACAGGTAAATGGAGTGATCCAAGACAAACCATAACATGGATGCATTGAAACAAAAACAAAAATGGTTGTTTGGACTAAAATTTGTACAATGGAAAAGTAACATGAGTGTGCATGAAACAGTAAGACAAAGTTCATCCAAAGTTATATCTGAAGATCCCAGAGTTGGTTATGAGAAGAAATTGATGCTTTCTCCGATGGTCATCATGAAGCAAACAGGCAGGTGACAAAGGAAGAAGACAAAGAAATAATAAATAACCGAAAACAAGAGAAGACGCCAGACCACGGACGTGGTACCTTTCACAAACTACCTGTCACAAACTTTCTTTACCTCTCACAAACTTTCGTCTCTACCTCACAAACACACTTCACCTCTCACAAGCTCTTTCTACCTCTCACAGGCTCTCTACATCTCAAAAATTCTACCTTCCTGTCCCTGTCATTTTCTTCCTCTTCCTCCTTCTATCTACTCCATTCTATTTTTCACCTTCCCGTCCTCTTATTATTGTCCTGTGTTAATAAATAGCTTACAATTTTATGTATTTTCATTAACCTTAAATTTTGCACAGTATACAATTGTTTCTAATAACATATACTGAATTATTTTTATAAGAATAAATAGATGAAATACATGACAACAGATATAAAGTTTAATTAACTGAAGAGTTTAATAGCACGAATAAGATCTAGAAAAGTGTTACCAAATATACCATTTTCTTTCTTGGGCTATTGAAGTGGTTTTATGGCTAACTATATTAAATTGTGTTGTCATGGCGAAGATGATTCAAGGCACAAATATGCGCGATACCGCGCAAGTTTCCTTTACTCTTCAAAAATACGTACGTTATAGAGTAAAGAAAGAAGTAAATAAATCTAAATAACGAAAAAATTAAATCGGTAATTTAATTTATTTCCAGAGATTTGCTTCACTGTACTTGTGCAGAAGCTGAAATTTGTAAACATACTGTAGTATGAAGCTTCAATTAAGAAATAGAGCCACAATTTGATTACTATTTAATGGCTAATTTTGAAATGTGTACTTGAGTAGGGAGGTACAACCGCCTGGGAAGATATTGGAAGCATAATGTGTTGTCTAATGGTAGACCCTGCTGCCATATGGCACCACAAAAATTGTGACCAAGTCCTAGGTTGCTGATCTGACTTTCTGCCACATTTACACACAATTGCAGGATCCCAATTGCTTCTCTACTTTGACAGCACAACATACATATATCACTTCTCATTCTTGATGTTGTTATTTATTTATGTATGGCTATTTATTATTATTTTCTATGTTTATAATTTATTATTATTATTATTTTTATTATTATTTTCTTTTATTATAATAGTTATTTATTTTTATATATTTTTTATTAATTTTTATTACTATTATTTGTGTTATCATCATCATCATGGTAATTATTGTTATTATTTATATTTTCGCCCCCCAGGCCTTGATGTGGGTCATTAAAAATGACCTGTGCCCGGGTGGGCTAATGCCCGTAAAAAAAAAAAAGATTGCTACATAATTTTGAAAAACGAAAAACCTTACACAAATGACAAAACAAGACCCGATACTTAGTACAGACTGGAAGAAGTAAAACAGTAAAGGTAAGTGATTATTGATTTATTACTATTGCAGAATGTACGAAAAAATTAAACTGAAAAGGTAACGATATAAAAGAGCAAAATCGGCGAATTTTTATAAAGTAGAGTTGTATAAATGTCATTAGATGACAGATTCGTTATAGTTTATCTTATACTTTTCTTTGCATTAAATAATCTGTTTTTATATAGGTATATGATATAATGTTGGTGGTTGTAATTGGGTTATTAGCCTACGAGTTTGAGATTGTTTTGAAGTTGGCGGGGAAGGATGATGTGCCAGGCTGTGGCTCCCGTCCACTACAGAAACAAGTATGGCGGCGACAAGGCGGCTGCAGAAGGTAGGCCCGGCTCTTATATTGTCATTTTATTCTCGTAGTTTTCATATAATAGTTTGACAGTTATACAAACTGTAATTTGGAGTGTCCGTGTGTGGGAGAAGAACGGTCAGAATCCTTAGGTTGTGGAAGGGGGTGTATTAATATCACGTGACAGTTGTCCAAATCGAGGTCGCTTTGTAAATGTTTGGCTTCTCTTCCTACTAGCCTGCTGCTGTAAAAAGTCCTATGGATGCTCATATCCTCTCTTGTACAAGAAAACTACTAGTAGATTTTTCTGTTCTAGAAAGTTATGTAATTGTTTGGCGACTAAAAGTCCTCCTTGGGCGGTGAAGTTCAATAGTGTCAAAGTTTTCTTGTCAATTTCTATACATGGAATCTATAGATTTTGTTAAGCATGAAGGCATGCGGAAGTTTTGTTATTACGGCATTCCATCTAGTCATTAGATATCAATAGTGTTTGTGTGTGTGTGGAGGGTGTGGGTAGTGATGGTGGTGATGGTACTTGTTAGACTTCTGGACCTGCTGGTCTAGCACTCACATGTCAGGTCCATATTTTGATCTGAACCAAATAACCTGATATATTGATACTGTATATGGAGAGATAGAAATTATTAAGTTTGGAGGGTTTCATTTGGAGGTTGTATAAAGTGGCTATTTTGTTTGAATACTGAAACACCCATTAATGTTAGGCAGTACCGGTAGATATTTTGCCGTGACCGGCTAAATTCCTCCTAAGGCTATTTTACTGTGAGTGCGCTCTGATTGGCTAATTGTCCATTACCGGCGAACAACGCGAGAACCATATGTGACTGACTTTGGCAGCATTTGGCATTTATTTCACCATGAGTCAATTGTTGTGTAGCTATAAACATACCTAACCAGAAGGAGTTGTTCGATTTTGTTCATTTTTCCCACAGATGTTATAATAAAAGAGGTGACGTTTACTAAAACCTAATAGAACCTGACCAACCAAAGAAACCTACCTAACCTTGCCTAACCTCTTATTGGGGGACAGACCCTCGTCATTTTAACAAAAAGTACTTAGCCAATGAGAGCACACTCACAGTAAAATAGTGTTAGTAGGAACTTATCCGTTCACGGCAAATTATCCACTACGTTAATGTTATATTGTCAGCGGCCAAATGTGTTTGCTTCCTTTTTAATTAGGTTAAAAGATTTCAGTGGGGGTGCCTCGAAACCAGGGGTTCCCAACCATATTTTTCCACTGTGGACCGTGGTGTATACAGTACTTCCAATATTTTTCAGACCGGTAAGTGTGTGGGGAGAGGAGGATAATTACCAGATTTGAGAACAACATTAAGATGCACTGTGCAGTTTTTCGTGGTATTATTTTACTTTCGGACAACATGGGAATCTTAGGAATTTTATCTTTGCAATCAATAGTTTAGACAATTTTCTTCAATGACATTGACCTTGCAATCATCTTTTATATGCTGGGGGTCTGGTTAGGCGGTTAGGGTTGGTCATTTGCGAGGGAAATGTCTCGGAAGCAAAGTGTCTTAGAATTGTATAAACTATTGATTGCATAGATAAAATTCCTAATATTTCCGTGTTGCTTGAAAGTAAAACTTTACCTTTCTTGCCACAACGTTGCATATCAAGTGATGAAACATGAAGATATATAATGTATATAATTCTCAACTTAATAAAAAATATTCTTGATAGACTGTTGGTAACTGCTTGGCTGTACATGTTTTTCTAGAGATGAAAAGTGCCAATTAATGTATAATTAATTTATTGTATTACATATAATTATTTTATAATATATTAATGTATTTTAAATCTTCATATTTACATTGGTACTGTATAGGGGTTTTATTTACTATGCTGTTGGAATTTCGTTTTTGGGGGGGTCAAATAATTTTTGACGCCCAGTACTGTTCTGGGGACTGGTGGTTGGGAACCCCTGCTTCACGCAGTTGTTACTTGAATGTATTTTATGGTATATAGGAGAAGAGCCCATGCTTGTTAGCTGGAAACTTTGTCTATTGTTTTACATTGAAAAACAATTGACACAATATCCTTAAATCTTCTGAATCCTTCCCACATTGGGCAGAGAAGTATTAGTGTTAAATGTAAGTCTTATAGATGATTTGCATTCCTTCCATACAAAAAACACTCACTTGAATAAAAATTACCTTAAAAAAAGGTATCCATGAATAAATAAGTCCGCAAATCATGGCGCCAGAAATTTCTCACTACCTTGACCAGCACATTGCCATCTCTGTGCCATGGTGTTACCAGATTTGAACACTGGCATACAGACCTTGGCCTTCATGCCTGTCAGTACTGTATGCTGCTGAAGTAAAATTAACATCACTAAACTCTGATTATTTCAGGAATGAACCACTGAGAGATGCCATTTTTCCCTATTGTGGAGTGTACAGGCGAGCAAAAGCAATTTTATAGTTTTCACTGCTAACAACTGGTAAAAGCATGCTTTCTGAATTTTAAATGCTTACGAATGGTTCTTAAGTTCCACAATTTGGACACCTCTTAGTTTGACTGTTTTTGACAAATAAAAAAACTGCACATCTTTTGATATCATTTATAAATTAGGCTTATTAGTCTAAAGAATTACTGCAGTATTATCAGAACCTTGTACACAAACTGGATTGAAGGAAGATGAAAGATTATATGAGGGTCTTGATTAAATATCATGGACACAAACAAGCACATGATGCATCTCATCTTAAAATAAATTCTGAATTCCAAAATCCCTCTTTCAGATTCTCTAGACCACACATCCAGTTCACTCCATGTTCATGCTTGTTTATAACAAATTTACATTGACTGAAAGTACAGTACAGTATTTAATGATTGGTAGTACTATACAATACAATAATTGACAATGATTATGCTCCTGTACAAGCAGCTTGAGGATATTTTTCTAGAAAAAATAAGTGCCTTCTTGCCTCAATTGTATACAGGGTACTGTATATGGTATTATTTTAGGTTAAATTGGTTCATTTTATGAACAAATATTCCCGGCCCTTGGCAGCCTATTCCACCAGAAAGTCCTGGTCACTGCTAACATTGTGGAAGTGCCAGATACTGCGACATAATGTGGTTTATTATCCATTATATTAAGTAATTTACCTAACCTTACTTAAAATGTCATAAGATTTATCTTCTAAGCAATAGTTTACAACAGTGCCTTTGTTAAAAGGAGCAATTTTAGGAAAACATTATATAAAAAAACATGTTATTGTACTTACCCCTCAAATATCGAAAAGAAACTTGGAGGAATTGAAATTTTTTTATTTATATTTTCTACTTTTTTAAATTAATGACACTGTATACAGTACTCTAGAGTACCAACAAATAGCAAGTTATTAGTTTGGCAATTTGACAAACCAAAGCTACTTAATCTAACACACTTAGTCTAGGGTGGAAGTGCATTATTATGTTAGGTATGTTGGGTGCTTCACTTCAAAATCTTTGGTTGCAGGCCTGTCAACAGTTTAACTGTAAACATGGTGTCTCTGTGTTGACGGACTAGAAAAGCTTAAGTGAAAAACAAGGTGGTTCATATGCATAATCATTGTTAAGTACAGTAATATATATATATATCATTGCCTGAAAACCACATTTTATAAGGTGTCTTAGCCATCATTTTATCTAGTGAAAGTCTGCATACCATGTTCTCTGCACCAGCAAGTGTGTTACAAGTCATTGTATACTATATTTTTTTAGGGTTAGGTTAGGTCCTTTATCTTTCACTAACTTAAGAAAATTTGCACCATTTAAAGTTTTACGCACAAATTCCATTCATTGTGTCACTTTTGGCATAAAAGTTTTAAATAGTGCCGTGCAGCTTCTTAATATGGTACATGTACAGTTTTTCCTCCATTTTTGGAAAGATTATAACTGTACTGTACCATATTCCTGTAAAGTTGTCACCTAACAGTTAGAGATTGAAAAGTATATTTAACAAAAATCACAATGGGATTCATGATACCCTGAGTTTTATTGCCCCAGCACTCACCTTGAGTCTGTAGAATTGCAGTCCAAGAAGCAGTTGTTCAAACTGAAGGTGAGTTGTAATTTGTTAAAAAATGTTTTGAAATGATGTCATAAGGCAATTTTAACCATATTTTTTATTGTATTTAATTATGTATTCCTATTGTATCCCCTTCTCTTAAAGTCTTGGAACACATTCCAATGCATTCTTTTTCTATCTACCTCTGGTAACAGAATTTCTGACAAAAGATGTGAAGTCATGGAATGCATCCACTACGTTAAGAGAGGTACAGGTATTATTGTAATGTACAGGTATGTGTTTAAAGAAAAAACAAAATTGTTTTGGTAAAATGAAAACAGTTTTATGAAAATTTAATGTTCTCAAAATTAATAGTGAAATTTTAAATATTCATGGTATTGCTAGGACATCAGTGAGCCTGGGTACATGAGTGGTGAGTCTGGAAGCTGTAGTAACTCACTTCATCTTAAGACTCCTACTTCTTAATTTTGATGATTTTCTGGAGATGATGACAATTGCTATTCATTCAGTTTGATGAAGAACAGCTGACAAAGCAATGAGGCTTGTTTCCAGTCAAATCCTTATGGCAGCAGCATCTGGTGTTCTTAGGGCCAGACCCAACGTTGTTTAACTTTGATGGTCGGACAAGAAGTGGTGTTTCCAACATGGTACGACTGAGATAGGAATCAGGAGTAAATTTTGAGTGTCTTTACAGTAAACTATATCTGAAAGAGTGATTAACAGAGATGTGACTGACCGCCCAAGCGGCTAACGAGTCAGTCAGTGGCGAAAAGGATAAAAGTAAAAGTTAATTTTGTGAAATTTGGTTCAGATTTGAGTATCCCAGTGATTTGTGATGCAGTAAACCCTCGATAAATCGACACATCTGGGGCTCTGGCCTTGCCGAGTTATCCTAAATTCCGACTTATCGAGGCACTTACCCCCTCTTACAAAGTATAATAAAAAATTATCAACCCATATATGTGTACATGTAATTAATAAATGTAAAAAGGTAACACTTACCAGCATTGCAGTCGAAGAATGAAGCATCATAGTAGGAAAGACATATGAATGGTAGGTGACACAGAGGCATGATAGGTGATGTACTGTACAGTACAGTATTATGTAGTTTGAACTAATGTCCCTCACCTTATGACTTGTAAATAATTAACCTACTGGGAAAAGGACTTCATTCCAAGAAAAAAGTTCTTTACTTAGGAACAACTCCCTTACAGGCAGCCACCTATTTTCCCACAACCCAAACAACTAACATACAGCTCCGCCCCGACTTACGACCTGCCTCAGTCGTACCAAAATTTGGTCAAATTACGTATTTTTGAGTCCCAAAGTCAGTACACAGACAAAATTTTCATCTGTAATTCCCTTTAAAATGGCTGGCAAGCTTAAAGGTGAGTGTTTTGTGGTGCTGAGAAGAAAAAGAGACCCCTATTTTAGATTTTCTATGTATTATTTAAGCATTTCCGACTTATGACCATTTCGACTTACGACCTGGATGTCGGTCCCTAACCCCGTTGTAAGTCGGGGAGCAGCTGTATGTAACTTGTTCAAATGCCTATGCAACTCTCTTTAGGCTACTATTCTTACTGTGTTTAAGAGGATAGAGGGAGAGGCAAAACTACAGGGAGGAGGCTACATGCACGACCACTTCACCATCTTGAAGTCTATTATAACATCCATTTTGTCACCCAAAAATCAGAGCTTTTCTGACTTAATGCAGTTTTTGCATGTGTAGCACTAGCTCTTTGCATATGAGACATTGCTTATAGAATGCTCAGTCTAGATAATCCAAGATGGGTGTGCAAAAACGAAGTACAAAAAGTACTGTACAGTACTAAAGAGTATTGTCTTCCCCTCACATCAGCTCGTACTCCGTTGGCTACTGAAGCATGTGAGATCATATGTTATACTGTGCAAATGCTTGAGTGCCATTGGGTAGGGTTATTCGGATGATTGAGTACCTTTACATGAGACACAATACAATTTCGATGGCTTTGCTGCAATTAGACCGCTTGTCTTCAGAGGGCAGCCAGTGCTTCTAGTCTCCCATTTTTGTGACAGGAGGGATGGGTGATCAGTAGATAAGGCCAGTGCAGCAATGAGAGTTGCTTGGCTATAGGCATTATTAGAAGAAGAAACGATTCTGGATAAATCTTCCATTTTTGCCTTTTCAACTCGCCATGTCTTGTGACACTGGTCAAGAATTTGTATCAGTCAAGTGGGACTAAGGAGAAAAGATGGACATTTCATTCCTTGTCGTATACCATATATCATGTCATATGGAAACGAGCTGTTTCATGAGTTGCTCCTATATTACATGGCTGGAATTGCTTTCATCCTGGTGCTCCAAACAGTGTGCAGCCCCTCCTGTAGCAGCATGGGGAGAGGGGGGTACAGTGTTATGTTCCCTTCCATAGTATATTATGTGTACGGTATTATAAATCTGAGATCTGAATTTTACAGGGTCCATTTGTTTCACCAATAGATACAAGTTAGCTTTAAGTCTGGTATTACTCTACATACTGTTTTTGGGGCATGATGTATACTGTACTGGACTTGGTTCATGACTTGGGAGAGAATTATACCCAACTCATCACCATAGGGGCAGATTGTCCAATGATTATTGGGGCTCTCGATACTTGTACTGATGGTTCATCTCACTTATGCAATACTATATTTTCCAGGTTAACACCATAGAACTATGGTAATGGAGGGTGAGGATCATTGCTGTCTGATCTTATTAGATGGCAGTAAACTAAAGTTGACCCTCCTAGGGGTGGACAGTATATCTGTCTAATCTTTGGAGCTTTTATAGCACCTCTTTACTTTTGTTAAACTGGCATATGATTGCAAGACCCACCTGGCTTAGGATATATGATAAAAGTGAAGTGGAAGATGATCCTACAGTGTAGTAGAATCCGTAACCAGGTACAGGTAACTCGGATATTCCCGTCTCCCTTGGCCTATTAGATCATTATAAGTCGGCTGGAACTGAATTGTGGGTGACAGACTTTGTCCTGAATACTAAAGATGACCCGGTAATGCAGCCTACCTAGGTGTTGTTTGGAGGGACTCTGGTTAAATAAGGCCTGGCCCCCACCTGTTGCACCTAATCTCCCTCAGACAGTGTTATGAAGAGGTTGGGATGATTGGTGAATCCAAATGGGCTAACAATTGAACACTGATGTGCAATATGAGGGATGGGTGGATCAGTCCTTTATCTTTGGTTTGGAGAGACAATTCACTGAATATACTGTTTTGTAATTTACAATGCCTTATGATTCTTAGAAAATATATTACAGTACTTTGTAATCCCATGTGTTAGCTCTCATTGTATATCATGTGTCTTGGTGGTGATTCGTTCCAATTCTCAAGCCACCAATTATAAGAAATCAGGCCTGTAGAATGGCAGGGAACTAGTGAGCTTGTGTGATTAATTCAATTACTGTTAATTTGTACGGTAAATCAACAGGAATTAAATGAACCAGGTTTACTGTAATGTATAATTAATTTTTATATTCCGCAGGAACTGGCAGATATCCGCAAATCAGGAATCAAATCCTTCCGGGACATATTGGTGGATGAGAGCAACATTTTAACATGGCAAGGACTTATTGTGCCGGTAAGAGACACTATGCCCTCGAGTCTTATAAATTTTTTCTTCAAATATATGATATACCTCTTACTTAAATTTAACATGGGCTGTATATTAAAGGATATTAGGTATACGTACTTTATCTCTCCGGGGTCACTTCTCCTTATCCTGTATTTCCCATTATACTCAGCCCTTGCCAACAATAGTGCCAACTGTGGGAGAATTCTATAATGTAACCCTCACGGTTGGTAAGGGATTACTGTACAGAAAGTATCTGCAAGGTGAAATACGATGGATGTCAAAATGAACACTATGACTCCATTTGTCACGGAAGGGTTGTCAAAATCCTTCGTCCAATGTCCTATTGTCCAGCAAAACAATTTGCAGATACTTTCTGAATTTAGTGCACTGTATGTCTATCCCACCTGAGCAGATTAAGATCTAGGTTTAATATGAGAAGTAGCTCTAGTCTTATTCTACACACCAGATGGAATAGAGTTGCACCTATGTATTGTAATCTGAATTTTACAGTTACTGAACATTTGTGGATTGTAGGTTGGCATTTTATTGAGAATTCATTTTTACCATACTTTTTCACATTGGCAGTTAATTTTATGAGAAAGTGTGTATAGAGCATTTCTATTTATTTTTTATTTATTTACTTATTTTTTTCACTGTTAGCTACACTATCTTTTGCACCACTCTCCTATACCATCTTCCTCCTTTATGAAGTGCCCGTGTCCTAAAATCTGTAATACAAAAAAATGGGAGACGACTAAATACTGTATAGTACTGTACACCATGATTTACTTTGTTAATTTTTTTATTTATTTTATTTTATTTTTTTCAGGAAAATCCTCCCTACAATAAAGGAGCTTTTAGGATTGAGGTGAACTTCCCAGCAGAGTACCCTTTCAAGCCTCCCAAAATAAATTTTAAGACAAAGATATACCATCCTAATGTGGATGAGAAGGGCCAGGTGAGCTGCTGGTGTGGTTTCTATTGACAGCTCTTAATTCCTAGTTAGGTAGTTTTGTCTGCTCTGCTCGAGTACTGATATGTGTACAGTACTTTTGAGCAAGGGTGGATCTGGGGGGGGGGGGTGGCAATGTCACCAATTACTTGCAAGTGCCCTTGTATTCAGTTATGAGAAAATTAAATACAGTAAAGGTAAATAATTACCTTTATTGTATTTAATTTAACACTAGCTTTGATGATAAAGCCATAAAGTATTTGGGACCATTTTCAACGAGTTTTGTATAGGGGTGGAGGTTTGGTAGTATTTGACCATCATCAGAATTAGTGCAATGCCTTCAGTTTAAATACAATACCCTGTTAAAGCAATTTGATTATCACTTCCATCTGGGATGTGCTTCACTGATGATAACACACGAGTACCATGGTGTCCAGTTTGGCCTTTTAACTGCTTAGATACATACTCTCTGTGCTGAATAAAATTGTCTGGAGTTAGTCAAATGAAATATTAAAATTGGCTTCCAATAGTGGAGGGGTTAAGGGCTAATAATTCATATTTTGCCTTTTTGTAAATGGTTGGCCTTATCAGACAAGTTTTAACACATCTAGTTTCTTGGCTAAGCTTATACACTTTCTATTAGCTTTTAAAAAACATTACCATCACTTGCTCTCTTGCTCATGTTGAATAGGGATGCAAAAATGCTGTAAGAAACTTGAGAAAGTTTTTCTCCTGTTCCTGTTTAGATGCGTGAAAACAAATGGACCGCCAAGCCCCAACGGTTGTTTACTGGCGATGCGCTTTACCACTCATTAACCAGGCAGCTTCTTTGCGCAAGGCACTCTTCATTTTTTTTTTTTTTTTTTATATAATACATATCAGGATTTAGTTATGAAAATGTAATTTTATTTTTTTTTATTATAATTTAGTCATAAATACGAATGAAATAAGGACGTAAATTGAATTGGGTCTTAAATTAACTAGGGTCTTTAATATGAAAAGTTGTTGGTCGAACCATTGTTATTGGGGGCTTTACTGTACTATAGCACGTTTTTTCCCAGCTGAGAAAAGATGCCCTGCCCCCTCCTCAAAATTTACAGCTGATTGGCTGCTGCAAACCTGTCTGATTTTGTCCTGAAGTAATGATGTATTTCTAAATGAGTTTACTCATAATCGCTGGGATGACAGTTTCTGACGAGAAAGATATTTAACTAAATTATATGAAGATACATACATTAATTTTTCAAACATAAGCACGTAAGAAGTTTATCAGAAGTATTATACTACATGAATTAACTGTTAAACTCTGGTAGCAAATTCACGCTTTCGGAAGATGCATTTAATACATACAGGTACTTATTTTTACCCACAATAAGGCATACTAAGACAAATTATGTATCAGTAATACTACATTATGCAAAAACAACATTTTAAAAGATCAGAATCATAATTATATTTTATTAGACTAAATAATAGGAAAGATGGGCAAAACATTGTCTGCAGTGAAGGCAGCACAATTCTTGACTGATACTTGCTCTGACTTTACAAGAAACATTGCATCATCGTACAGGTGCACTTTTTGTTTTAGGGGATGCTTTTTTTCCTCTGGGCCCTCTATTACTGAAATTTCTAGATGTGCCCTTTTCTTCAAAATTTAGAGCTAGCTGAAATCTATTTGTTTACTTGTATATACATTATGTGATAATATTCCCAATTGTCTTCATTCCATCGATACTATTTTTTATTACTGATTAGGTGTGCCTCCCCATCATTAGTGCTGAGAATTGGAAACCTGCAACAAAAACAGACCAGGGTAAGTCTTGAAAATATTTTTCAATTTTGTTTGTATATATAGGTGTTTCTTATATGCAGGATACATTCTCTGTTTCATAAATAATTTTGATGACACTTAGTAGGATAGTGAGGTAAAAACTGTTGTTGAAATATTTAGTGGACTTTTCTAGTGAAGTAAAAACTTTAAAAATATGTCCTGTCGACAAATATTTAAAGAATCTGTTTTGGTTGTACAGATGTATGATTTATGTTATTGAAATGGCTGATTTGTAAAACTGTGTTCCTAGTTTTCAACTTATTCATATTTCCAAAATTTGGAAATTCAGTACAGTCATGCACCGGTCAACGTCCTAGATACGTTCTTGGAAACATGACGTTAACCGAAATGGACGTTGTCCGGTCATTACATAAACTTGTATTTATACATACGTGTATGTGGAATACTATATACGTACATATACACTTTTACTCTTAGATCACTACTGTACTGTAATGTGATACAGGTGGTTAATTTTTATCTCGTGCAAAATACATGACATTTATATTAAAATTATTCACTGTTTTACAAGGATTCCAGCAACGCTGGGCAGATAGGGGTGAGGGAGGGGGCGTGGGGGGAGGGGAGTGGTTTGACAGTTGGCCTAGGTCTAATGCGTGTATATTTATCAGTTCTTAAGTGACTAAGCTTCTCTCTTATGAAAAGCCAGTGAAATGACCTGGGTGAATATAATTTACATTGCTGGGATTCTTGTAAGATACTGATTAATTTGAACATAAACATGCTATAATTTGCACTAGACATAATAATTTTAGTACCGTAATCAAATTAGTACATGTACTGTACACTCCAGCTTTGCACTAAGGTCATTTATTTCTTTTGCGTTTCTTTTAGTATGGTGTGTGCATGTAAATGGATGAAAATAAATGAAGAAATTTATGTAAATCTACCCAAAAATACAGATGAAAAAATTTATATTATAAATGTACTACAGTACTGTACACTAATGTACAAATTTTTTTATCTCTTGTGCAAAATATATGACGTTTATATTCAAATTATTAGCTGTCTTGCAAGGATTCCAGCAATGCAAATTATAATCTAACTTTAGTCTGAGATATTATATAAAATAAAAACTGTAAGCCTAAATAAACCTCTGGCTGAGCAGATGCGGGGGAGGAGGGAGGGAGGGAGGGACAGAGCCAGCCAGCCAGTGAGAGGTGGGGGGAGGGGGGTTGAGATGATATGTTTGATAGTTTGAGCCGAAGGTCTCTGTGTGGTTCCAGCTCACAGTAAAGTACAAAGTAAAAAAAATGCAGTAAAGTACACTTTGAGGTGTGTATGTAGAAGGTTCCTGGTTGATGGGAATTAGAAGTGGGGGTGGAGGAGAAGGGAGAAGAGAAGGAAGTGGGGATGGAGGAGAAATCACCTTTCAGGGGACCCATGCTTGGTGCAGTAATTTCACCAATAAAATTTTAAGTTCACTTGGTGTAATTCAAGATTATTTTAATTAAATAAACAATGCACTGTGCTATATATTATCAATATGTTAACTAAATTTCATAATGACCAATAATTTTAATGTAAAAATGCAAAAAATATTCAAGACACCAACAAAATCGATGTTCACTCCACCGTCAATAAAGCCAAACTGATGCCTGGTGGCTGAGTCAAGCGGCTGATGGGCGCACAAAAACTAGTTCCCTGTACAGTGAGTTCTGCTATAACGCGTGTTTTGATAACGCGAATTTGCTCTAACGCGATTTATGAATTAGGAACGATGTTTGTATAACGCGAACGCTTGTTTGCTATAACGCGATTTTTGCTTACTATTTCTCCAATTTTGTGGTATTAACTGTGAATATGGTAAAGAAGAATATCTCCTAGAAGCGTTCTGGTGATAGAATTCCCGGTGATGATCATAAAAGAATGGATATAACACTTGAAGAGAAGCTCGATTTTATCAACCTCAAAATCACCCTTCTCCCCCATCAAGTTACATTCATATTTTTTCAAGGTAAAGTGTTACATTTACTGTATGAATTCATTATTAGATATGAATGTAACATTTATTTAGACTGTGCTATCCTTTGTGTTAGGCTAACTACTAAATTTTTTCGATTTCGAGTAATCTGCACCAAACCCTATTTTCTCCATAAGCCCTGTTATTTCTATTACGCGATTTTCTATAACACGATATCTTACAAGAACACAATTATCGCGTTATAGCAGAACTACCTGTACTGCATATATTATCAATATGTTAACTAAATTTTAAAATGACTAATAATTGTAATATAAAAAATGCAAAAATATTAAAGAGCACAACTTTCTTGATATTTACTCCACTGGAAACAAATGTAAACATAAAACTGATTACTGAATTGGCAGACTAGCCCATCAGCTGATCAGCTGATGCTCACAACAAAATGTGTTGTTCATAAGGGTTTTGTTAATCAAAGTTTTGTTTAACTGAATTGAAGATCCTTATGGGAGGTAATTCGTTAATCGAACCGTTCGTTAACCGAGGGACCACTGTACCACAGTTTTAATTTGTTAAATTTTAATGTTTCTATCAACTCAATACTTTAAATGTCAAAATGATGTGGAAAAAATTATGCGTTTGTTCATGTACATATGCAGTATCTCATTAGATTGAAGAGTGTATGCATCATACACCAGATTCTCCTTCTTTCTGTAATGTGCATTTGTGTTCTATAAGTTGTCTTTCAGTGTTTTTGTGGCTATTTTTGGCAAGAGGAAATCTCAAAGTAAAGAAGATTTAAATTTCAGTGATTGAGGCTCTTATCAACCTTGTAAATGAGCCTGAACCTGAACACCCCCTTCGTGCTGATTTGGCTGAAGACTACACGAAAGACCGAAAGAAATTTATGAAGAATGCAGAAGAATTCACCAAGAAGAATTCAGAAAAGAGGCCAGCAGACTAACTACCCTATGTATGTGTAGTCTGTGATTTCAAAGGCACTTTTCAGGCAGACTTTTTATTAAAGGATTTTAGTTTTTATTGTTCTGTAATTTGGTTTAAGATTTTATTTACCCTTATAAGTAAAATATTGGTGTATTATACTGAATTGTGCTCTTTAATTATGCTGTTAGGGAGATTTGATTAAGCTCATAAGTTTTAAAAATTCATCACCAAAAAAGATGATGGTATGATTATATTTTTTTTCTTCCAAAATAGAGTATACAGTAATTTGCATTCATGTAGATTGTTAATGTTGGTGATTTTAGCGCCTTTATCATAATTTTTCTAAGTACAGGTATTGTATTTTCCAAAATCTCTATCTAGTCTTCTGTTTCCTTCTGTTCACACATCTTGTATTTATCAGTATATATTATTTTGTAGATAAAGTTAAGGTAGAATTTTATATCAAAATGATTTTTCAACATACCCCTGGCCATTTATCATGTGTGTAGTTCTACTTCTCAGTGTAGTAATTATGTTTACAGTATGTCATTGATACATGCAGTTACAGGAAGTCTTGGGTTCTTTGTAATTCTTTTATGAAAAAGTTATGTAGATGAATACCAGACTTTTTCCTATACAGTGTATACTTAATATGAAATTTATTACTCCTGGACCTTAACTATTTTCAATAAAATGAGATGCATCTATTCAATAGTCTGCCTGTTAAGTGCCCATACACCCTTATAAATATGGTAGGCTACTAAGTCTTGCTGCCTCTTCAGTGATATTTTTTTAAATCATTCTTATGTAGACTCGAATTAGGTTTACACATAGCAACAAAGGACTCAGATGTAGAATTAAAAGAACAATTAATCTGGCTGAATGTATAAATGCTACACCATATCTTCACACCATCTCTATGCAAGGTTTAGTTTTCCTTGTGAGATTGAGCCTTTCCTTGATAGCCCAATAGGACCCCAGTTTGTACTATAGCTTCTACCACACCTGGATGTGGTTGGTCTCATCGGTCCATTTATGAGATGTTTGGATTATGGCCATGCCTGCGCTGCTGGGTTTTTTAAGATGTGGGGTTGATATTCCTGCTGAATCTTAGTTATGGGACCTGTAATACTTTTTGACACTAACTGCCAGTTAGGAGGATGTTAAGTATTAACTTGCTTGAAGAGCTGTTTAAGAATTTAGGTTTAACTAAGTTGTGAAAAACAGCAAAAGTAGCTCAGTCATGACTTGAGACTAGGTGAGTGTTAACTCTTTGTGAGGTTATTATTAATTCAACACCGAAATATATAGTTTGAATTTTTATTTTATGAAGGGTTTACATGAGTGTTATGGTTCTTAAGTCACCAGTGGCAACATATGATGATGGTGATAAAACCCTTTTAGAAACACTTGCATTATTCCAGTATGTGTTAGTGGTGGTAGCCCTCCCCTACATCCCAGTCAGTTGGGCCTAGTACTGGCCACTTAATTTCATCTTTGTACCATCATAAATGCAGCTCATGTTGATGTGCTGAGGGGATGCTTCTTGTAATACTGAAAATCATTTTCTACAGGACTACTCTTTTAATTATTACTGTGATGTGTTGAGAGTTTCTGAAAGACTGCTAGATCTCATGCAATTTTCATTTCTGGTAGATACTCTCAGTCTTGAAGTATTAAATTATTTTATTTATTTTACTTTTTTATATAAAGAAAATTACCCTATATTTCTTCACCCAGCTCCCATTACAATAACATGATATACTACAGTATATAATATCCAATTTGAATTTTTCTCCGTCTTTCTTAATCTAAGGCAGAATTACTGGTTTTCGTGTGATCTGCCAGCAGTTGTTGGGGAGGGAGCCATATTGGCTGTGCTTGTGGTCTGTTTATGTGAAAGCACTTTTTAATAAAAGTTTGAGAGGTGGTATGTAAGTAAACTGTTTTAAGAGTTAAAAGCAGTTGTTGAGCCTTTTGTTACTGGTCTTTGAATTTTACAACTTATAAGACTAATTATGTGGCATGGTAATTTTGTGATTATTGCCTCAATGTCATGTGTAATGGCAAAGTGATTTCTTGACCTTAGTAAAATTATCCAATGCTCATGAAATGTGTATTCCTTTGCAGTGTTGTGTTGAGGTAAGAGATGCTTAGCCTTGTGCATCTGTTAATGGAAGCAGATTATTTTATCTAACATAATCATGGGACTCAATTTTCCATTTAGATCAAATATTTACCAGTTTCATTAAAAGCACTTGCTATCCTTTAGAGGTGGACATATTTCTCAGTCGTAATTTTCTTGATCTTTTTTTTTTAGGCAGTTTCATTTGAGTAGTTCATATCCACTTTTATTCAGTACTGTGTGCTTTTCTTCTTTATCATGCAAATTTTAAATTCGTTTACTTTGATGTAAAATAGGATAACTGTACTCTTCATTATGCAAAGAATTAATATTCAGTATACATATTCCTTTATAGTTTGTTCACTCTTTCTTTTTTTTTTTTTTACACCCCATGAAGACATTTTAATGCAATACTCATTGGGTATATTCAGTTGTCTCAAATGTTAGATTGTGATCATGGCCAGTTTTCCTTTGCTAATATAAGGAAAATGGTGTATATCATGTACATTATGTAGCTGAGGAGAATGCTTGTTGATACTTAAGAAACTTGATAGTAATTTGTGCATCATGTGATTAACCAAATTTTAAAATTCAACACAGCAGTACCATTGAATTAATACTAATGTGTGTCCAATGTAGAAATCCTATCCACTGTTTTTCAGCTTACCAATTTTGTCGGATTTTGTTGTATTGCTCTAGCTAAATTACAGGTACATCAAATTTTAACTTGTTTCTTTGATGTCCTTCAATGTTGTGAATACAATAGTAAGGACATGTTTTAGATGAATTTGATTAGTGCTATGATCTTTATTTACAGGTTTCAATTTGTTAGCAGGGAACTAAATCTGTGCTCACATAGCTCAAGGTAATCTTTTAAAGTATTTTACCTTGACCCTTATACTGTATAACCAAAATTTTGTCATTCTATTTTAAACTTTGTACTAGATTTGTGTCTGTGTAATATTGCTGTTTTGATGCTATATACTACTTTGTCAAGGGTATAAAGGTATGGCTCAATCCTTGTGTGTGTGCTCTCTAATGTTCTTTCTGGACCTTACACATATCAACTTTGGCGCTATGGTATGCACCCTTGCAAAGTTTGGTTGGTCGGTCATCATCAAGTTTTACAGACACGTATTGAAATTAGGGGTGGACTGATCTTGGTCGTTGTCACCTCATTCAACAAAAAAGGTTTTGCATCTAGATGGGTAGATTGTATTATGTACCATTAGTGGGTACTCTTGTTGTGATAGTGTGGTGAAATACATAGGACTATGCATACATACACTGAATTAGTATCACGAACTACTGCCTCCAGCGGCAGCACAAATTACTTCCCGTATAAAGACAGCTTCTTTAACAGTTTCAATCCGTTTATAAAAAAAAATTGTATTATATAAACGTATTTCATCTATATGTGACCTTAGGTGCAATGGTCATCATACTGTACTTGCCTTTTAAGTGAATGGTTCCAGGATCATTCTTCGGGCAGAATGAAACTGTGAGCAGTTTCTTAAAATCTTGTATTATCTTTTTGTTGCTCAAAAGTAATTAAGAACCTGCATGTTGACCGATTAATGGATCATGTTCAGGTGGTAATGGTTAACCAGTGCGGTTAGCAAGTTGTCTCCAGTCTTGGATTATTCCATGACACTTGGGTCACACACAGCTTGTTAACTCTGGGTGGTGGTGTACTGTTGACAGCTTTTACACCGTAACCAAATTTACATCGAGGTGTCCTTAGGGCTGCCCATCCTTGAAAATGAGGGGCAACCATTATATTTTATTTTACCCATTTACCTGAAAAGCAATAGACTGTACTGCTAATGAAATTTTGCACTCGTGGGGTAACAACACAAAGTTAATAAGGATATCTGGACGTGTAGACATGCCTCCATTAAAAAAAAATTCCATGTATTGAATTTTACAATTTGCATATAGAACTCACAAAGTCACCAAGATTACCTTGCATAAGAAATGACTTATTTGTGTTGTATTAACTCAGAAATAGAGGGAAATGTCAACTTTATTGCTCAGAGTGGAGCAACTAATGGAAAAGTAATAGTTGCCATCAACCACAGGAGTCACGTTGAAAAAAAGAAGAAAAAATAAGGAAGAAATTGGTGATATACATTAATTGTAACCAGCTTTACCTGCCATAGAAATACCGTATAATTTAATGAAGGAATACCAAGACAAACACACATTACATGCTACGACGACTCGGGTCACTTGGGGCACCCACGCCAGAGCTGAGGACTATCTACAACGCCTTTTTCTCCCTAAATTAACGTATGTGTCACCAGCCTGGTCGTCTTCTCTCAACTCTACCCAACAACATCAGCTAGAGAAGGTACAGAAAAAGGCCTGCAGAATCATGCTCGGCGCAGACTACTCCGGCTACAACAGCGCTCTCTCCACCCTGGAAATGCCATCCCTCAGTGACCTCCACTAGCAAGGTTTGGCAGTGGACTACTGCACCATCCTCGTCATCACCACCGGAAGTCCCCCGCCCACCTCGTGCAGTCCACCACTACAACAAAATTCAACCCATAAGAGCCCACACTGATAGATATAAGAATAGCACCATCCCATCTATTGTTAAAATAATAACTCTTGATTTATGTACTGTACAGCCCTGTAAATGTATTGAACGCATATCATTGTCTAAATCACTAGCAAGTTTGTATATTTTCAGCCACCGGCTGCAACTCTATTAATAAACCGTTTAATATTATTATTAAAGAAAAAGAGGTAAAGTGAATGAATGAAAATTTTTTATTAATTCTACAAATGGGTACGGGTTGATACACCAAATGGTCATCGGTGCCATCAAGACCTTAAGTTGTAAATTTTATGAGTACCAGTACAGTATACAGTCAACCCTCACTTTGCGCGGTCCCACGTTTACGTGGTGCCCTGCCGGAACCCAGGATGCTCACATTCCACGGTGCGTGTACCCCTTTACGCGGAGTGTCCGGCTCGACGCTATTTTTAGATTCGCCCCACCCGCTGCCTCCTGGCCAAGCCGCGCGGTAAGGTTGCGCAGTGCATGTCTCTGTTGCGTTATCACTGACGTCATATGACGTATCGGACTGTGATTGGCCATGCATCCTTACCTCCCTCCGCTGCTAGCTGTAATTGGTTTAAAGTAATATGACGTGTCCACCCGGGGGAGGGAGGGAGGAAAGAAAGACGACGCTTGACCTAGCCGCGGCAGTTTCATCCCTCCAGGCCACACCGTGTAATCGTGCATCCATTGTTCTGTAAAATGGCTTCCGCCGGACCACCACCCCCAGAGAGAAACCTTTCCTTGCCTGGACCCAGCCGCCCTAAGCCCAAGAAGACATGACATTTCTTAAGCTACGAGGTGAAGTACAAGATCATCCAAGAGTTAGAGAAAGGAACAAGACAGGTTGATTTGGCGCGCCAGTATGGTGTGAACGAATCTACGATCCGGAAGATAAAGAAGGATGCAGCCAAGATAAAGGAGCACATGAAGATCACAAAGTCTACAGGTGCTTCTATGATCAAGTATTTTCACAACCAGGTGCTTCTCAAGACGGAAAAATTACTTGTGAGCTACTTGGTGAGTCAGGCGCGACGGACCATGGCGGTCAACACGCGCTCTGTTAAGGAGTACGCACGTGAACTGTATGCTGCAGTGTCACGAAAGATGGGAATTGCAGAGCCCAAACCCTTTAATGCTTCCTCTGGGTGGTTACAGAGGTTTAAGATGCGGAACAAGATCACCAATATAAACATTGGTGGTGAAGAAGCTAGTGCTGACCGTGCTGCGGCTAGGGAATTTCCTCCGTTTTTACGTGAGATTATGGAGGAAGGACAGTACACCGACGACCAGGTGTTTAACATGGACGAATCTGGTCTTTTTTGGAAAAAGCTACCTTCCAAGACCTTCGTTGTGAAGAATGCCAGCAAGATTCGGGGCCGGAAGATGCAGAAGGAGCGCATCACCGTCCTGTTTACCACCAATGCCTCCGGTACCTGTAAGCTCAAGTTATCGGTGATCCACACAGCCCGCAAGCCGCATGCCTACAAGAGCATGGACATGACCAAGCTAAATGTCCACTGGCTGACCGCACGTAAGGCGTGGATGTTCTCTACACTGTCCCTCTCCTGGTTTGATGACTGTTTCGTTCCCGATGTAACAAATTCTGTGAGCAACAGAATGTGCCATTCAAGATTTTGTTGCTGCTGGACAACGCACCAGGACACTCGCCCCTACTGTTAGATCGTCACCCCAACGTAAAAGTGGTCTTCCTTCTTCCCAACACTACGTCTATATTACAGCCCATGGACCAAGAGTTAATCTGTAATGTAAAAGCTGCATTCGCAACAAAAAAATTCCAGCTCCTGAACGACTACACCAACACCAGGGAAGAGTTGCGTAACTTGAGTGACACAACCGATAGCAAGAGCGAAGAAGACGAGGATCAACAGTTGGCAGAGCAAAAAATACTTTCAAACAATTCTGGAGAATATTTAACATCAAGAAAGCTGTGGACTTTTTGGTGGAGGCATTGGATCAGCTGTCTGTAGCAACTGTTCGTCACGCATGGAGACGTGTTGCAAGGCATTCCGGGCGTAAGGCAGAGGCAATCTGTGACTGGTGAGGTTCAGACTGTTGCAGTAGCAGTGGACCTTGCCAGAGAAGCTGCACAGAGTGTTACAGCTGCAGGCTTCTCCGAGACCACCAACGACGACATCCTGGAGGTGATAAGGGATCCTGATGTGACTACCGACGAGATGGTAGATGATGATGATGTCAGTGAAGAGGCAGGTGGTGCGTCATCCCAAGAAGAACACCACTTATCCCATAGTAATGTTAGGGGTGCCATCGAGTGTGTCGAGAAAATCAAGCTCCTCCTTTCTGACGACCATGACGCAAACAGGTATGAAATCTTCACTACCCAGCTGTTGCAGACTATGGAGCCCTACTTCAAGGTTTATCACGACAACATAAACACCAGCAGTCAGCAAAGCATAACAGAGTTCTTCGCCCGCAACCCACCACAGCCAGCCCAAGCCAGTGAAGATGACTTTGAGGGATTTGTCAGGGAGGCCCTGACAAGTGTGGATGACAGTGATGGTGACTCACCTGAGGGCCAGTAGCCTGCCCTCTGCCTCGGAACCAGCCTCCATCCCCGTATGCCGACCCATCTCTTCTACTAACGTAAGTGTTCAACCTAGCCTTTATTTTTCCTAACCTAACCTCTTCTATATTACTTGTTTGTGCATACCATCATAAAGTTAAGATAAAATTTTTACTACAACATAATTGTGTGTCGTCAAAAAGTGGAGTTTGGGGGTCGGCCCGGTCTCTTATTTCAATTAATCCCATATGTTATGTTGTTCACTTTACGCGGTACCCTGTGGGTTATATTAACCGCGTAAAGTGAGGGTTGACTGTACATCATTGGGATCTGAGAGTCATGGGGTCAAGAAAATGTGTTCCAGGGTGAATTTTATTTACCAGGGCATCATCCACCACCCAGAAAAGGTAGAGCTACTAGATGTGGTGGGGGTGTACTACTGTACTGTACGTCAAAGAAAACCCGACTGTAACCAGTAATGACGAGCTAAAAGACACGAGATCATCAGAATCTATTTGTTAGCACAAAACAAAAGCAAGCCAACTAGTTTTGTGCTATAGCGCCATCTCGGCATTGGAGGGTGAAGTGGCAGATCTGCATAATCGCCCA